GGTGGCGGATACGATCCCCATCTGTCATCGGAAATAACCTAACGATCAGGGCTTGGAGAACGTATCTAATGACTGCGGCTCCTTCCCGCTCTTTGCAAGCCGTTTGGATCATATTAAAAATCCTCCAGTGCCTGCAAGGACGAAGAGGGGACCGTGACGGGCTTTGATGCTTCAAGCTGCCAGCGATTCCTGAATCACGATTCTCCCGCTGTCGTAATTCTTCTTAAACAGACCCGAAAAGCAACGATTTGGGGTTTTTTGTTTTTTAAACCAACACAATTTTTTTTTCGTATTGCTGTTGAGGGACGACTCGGTGTCGGCTCGGAGAAGTCCGCAGGCTCCGGGTTCAAGAGCCTCACCATCCCGTGCTTTGCACAAAAATCTAATCAAAGGTCAGGTGCGACCAATCGAAGGCTTTTAATTGTAGCCAGGATAATTAGCGCAGCGTAGAAACAAGCCTCGGACACGAACGAGCGATGCCCAGACCTCACTGAAAACATCTTTGCTCCGCCGCTGGATTCGAAGGCTCGTCACATCCTGACCGTGTTTTACCCGCCTCCGACGCCGCGGATGCGCCAGATCCTCTCTGCTGTGCCGAATCTCGGCTGCGGGATGAGCTGATCCCAAAATCCTGCAACCTCCATCCCTGTTGAATCGCTCATTTAGGGCTGTTTTTAATAATTTGGGGGATTTTTTTATTAAAGCTTCTTGTGATCTCGTTTGCATCTGCGGTCTGGATCCCTCGTGGGACACTTGGAGCGGGCTCAGCCTCTCCGGGCCAGCTCTGAAATTAATTAGAGCCCTTTTCTACAGCAAGCTTTTTATTTCCTTTTTAATTAACATCGATGAGCTCTTTGCCGGAGCCCGTCCGGGAGCAGATCCGTATGGAGATTGACCCTTCAGCAGCTGGAGAAATGTTAGCTCCGTGCGCTGCCAGGTCCTGGCTGTATTTGTTCTGCCTAAATCCCCTGGCTGCCTGCCCCGCATCCTTGCCCGCTGCCAGGCGAGCAGAGGAGCCTCGGGGGTGAGCGGAGTCCCCAAAATCCTCCTCCCCATCTGGGATTGCAGGAGCATCCCGGGATGCTTGCGGGGGAGGGGGGTCCCATCAGGAAGGCACGGGCAGATTTACAGGAGCAAGGAAGGAAAATTATTTCCCTCCCACTCGCCGTGCTTCCCTTGGAAACCCCCTCATCCCCACGGCGGGGGGAGCTTTAAAGGTGAGGTCGGAGGTTTTAAAACTAGGCTGGAGGTTTGGGAGTTAGGCAGGCGCTGGGATTGATCCGGAGGGATTGGAGGGGAGCGGGAGCTCCACTGGGATAACACCGTGTCTGGGGAATGCGTCTCGGGCTGCTCCGGCT